TTGCTAGAAAAAAAAAGAAGATGATCTGGCTGGATATGGGCGTCACTCACAGCCTTGTAGTACTTGCCAAGCATCAACGGTCCGGGCAAGGACAACAAATTTTTGGTGAAGCCAATGTGTGTTATGTCTTGTTGTTGGTGGGCTTAAGTGGTGAGTTAGTGGAAGGGCGGTTATTAACTTATTACTTCTATTCTCGATTGGTGGAAGGGTGGTTATTAACTTATTACTTCTATTCTCGATTGGTGATTTTCATCGAGCTGGGAAGACGAGCTAAGTGCCCAGAAACCTTGATTGCGGAACTCTGGAATGTGGACTTACCATTTTCACTGTGCAATGATTACACTAGCCGTGGCCTAGGTCTTGCCCTGCAGAATGTCACTCACGTCAGAAAAACATTGTCAGCAAAGCAAACTAGGACAATTTTTCTTATTGATTAGGATATAGTTCGTCCTTTCTGGGAAATTTTGTAATTCCGACTTTGCTGTTCCAAAAATAATAGAAATTTCTAAGAAAAGAAAAAAAAGAAAAAAAGAGGTGAGGACAACATCGGGGAGTTTTGGCAAGCCCTGGGAGAAGATGGGCATTACCCTAGAGGTATGGCAGGATCGTATGGATAATGGGCAGTGCCTTATATGCGGCACTTAGAGGCACATCATGGCATGGTGCCCTTAGATCAACAGCAGCCAGTAGGAGTAACATTTGCTCCTATTGAGATGGAGGTTGCAGATGATACGGTGACACGGCTCCCTTTCGACACTCCAGCTCCTATGGCAAAGGATGACTCTTCTAGATCGCCTTGGAAGAGTGTTGTGTTCAGTCTCACTTGTGAGTCCCTTGATGAACTAGGCAATTAACTAATAGCCTTACATAGTTCATGGGCTAAGAAAGCAAATTCTTAAGGTAAATTGATCCTTGTAGCCTTGTAGGTACAAAGATTGCGAGTACACGAGTTGGTGCTTGGTTAGATCATATGTAAACTAGATCCTTATCTCAGAGATCTAATAAGGAACTTGCATTTGGGCTTAGTCCTGTCATATCTATGTTAGCAGATAAAAGCACTATCACTCTTTGCTACTATGTGGATCAAGATGTTATTTCAAAACTCAAGAAGGTCACGAGATTTTACATGAAGTAACCTTCCTTGTAGAAAAGGACCTCCAATTCGAGTTGACTTTTGGCATGAATTGACAACAGGGAGTCGATCCAATCGTGAAGTACAGAGACAATGGTCAAACTTAACAATGAAAAATCAAACCAATTAATTTATTCCAAATTTGGTTCAGATTCCTCATTGTCTTTCTGTTGCACAAGTACCCCAACTTTTTGAAGTACGGTCACAAAAAACAATTCGGAACAGGAAGTGATGATACTCCTAATAAAAAATGGAGAGGAAAGAGCAACCTTTGTACCACCCTCTATCGACAAACTTCTTGAAGAATACAAGGACCTATAAATTGAACCTACCGATGTTAGTGAAAAACCTATTAGGCATAAAAGTTATTCGGCGTGTTGTGGCCCATGGCTGCAGCAAATGGGCATGGGCAAAATTTGTGTGTCTCCACGTGAGAGTTGGGCAACAATTTTCTGTAGGTGTGTCTCACAGTTGGAATCCATAGGGAAAACAAAAAATAATAATGCAAAGACAAATGGGCAACAGCAGGGACAATTCAGTCCTTTGGCACTGGCAGGCGGGAGCACGAGGGCCTAGGTGCCGAGATGATAGCATGGGGGTCAAGCAACAGGTGTATCTCAATCGGTACACCCCATGAATTGTTGAAGTACAAACCATGTTTGAATCCGAATATTGACAAATGAACAAAATTACATCCTTCTGAATTGAGGGGGTAAAAAAGAAAGGCTACGACACACGTGGCAGAATAGTTCATACACACAAATGAACAAAATTACATCGTTCTGAACTGAGGAGAAAGAAAGAAAAGGCTACGGCACATGTAGGGGAGTGGTTCATACATTTACTCTTCATAAAAAGATCTGAGCTCAAATCCTAGAAGTGGAAAAACAACCCTAAGATGACTTCTCTCTCTCGGGTTGAGGTGCACTCGTATTCGATCTTGAGACTCAGTCGCAAACGCTGATATGTCGTTTTTCCTCCTGATCCCACTCGATATCTTTCGGAAAAAAAAACGACATAAAATGCATTTGCCGGCTGTTACGGTTATATTTTTATGCATTTGTTTGCAATCATATCCATGGTTGAGTTTGTCCGTGTCCAGCATTGCTATTCGGATTTACATCTACCCCTGGACGTGAGTCCAGTTGGATTCCTTTAGCAGTATCTTTCATAAAAAACGTCTGGAAGCATATGACCGTGATCACGATCAGAGCAGAGTTCGTCGGCGCTTCTAAACTAAACGCACCTGCAGAAAATGACAAATCACACATGGCCTGCTATGCATTGGTATTGGGATCTACATCTCCGTGTGGATGTGTTTCCTGTCATGTTCGTTTTGAAAAGTGTCAGTGTGACATCCTATTTCTA